TAATACGTTTGTTTAATTCAATTTGTAAAAATATATTACAAGCACGGATAATTTTTCTGTGGAACAAATACTGATACTTTAGTCCATTACAATTACTTGTGTAAATACCATTTCAGATCAAACACTGTAAAATATATCATGTGTGACTTATAAAATGTGAGTTAACAAAGAGTGACCAGAGATCCAGAGTTAATTGCATTTATATGCAGCATGAAACTGCATCTAAATGAATATATGTCTCCCAATATTTCCGGCAGATCAATATTACTGCTGCAATTGCTGGACAATAGTACAGAGTCAACTTTGGATCCCATGCAAGCTTAAAAAAAAACAGACCCAGTGACAGAAGGGCCAAGTATCCAACAACGTAATTCCTGTCGTCAATTTTCTTTATAGTCTGAGGAATTTCTCCTCAGGACTATCTGTTCATCTGGCTTTGCTCAGGATAAAAACGGCCGATAAAAGCACCAGACCTTTGTACCACAATTAAAATAAAAATGATGACCATCAGAGTTAACATCACACACAGATGCAGAAGATCATGTGATGAAGCCATTCAGTCTGCTTGCTTTAGAAGACTTTCCCTCTCTGCCACAGTATGATATGAGCCATACAAACCCAAATTACATTTATGATTTGCACGGTGCCAACACAGGCACAAAATCAAAGCCTTCCACTGAATCATTTTGCATATTTACATAGCTGGCAACTTCATGCGCAGTCAAACCTGTCTGTGCGAACTCCCTCAGTTGTATTTTCTGCTGACACACGCTGGAAAGTGCAGAGCCAGTGACAGTCGCTCGCTCATTAGCAGGTTTTTGGTGGAGACCCCAGATCCTGTGGGTGGCCTGGAGTTGGAGAAAAGTGATTTCTTTTCTGTATCTACCTCTACTTTCCATTGGAGACCTGAAGTCTCCAGTCACCCTGAATGTACCCTTTCAGTGTCTGTGAAGATAAAAAAGGCATCCAATATTTCAGCAAATAGAAACCTTATCCAAACAAAGGTAGGGTAGAGTCATTACTTTCAATCAAAAGCACATGTAAAAAATGACTGGACACTTGCTGGATTGAAAACACAACCTTGTAAAGTGTAGAGTGTGGTGCTGAATAATTATCGGAGGCTTCAGCTTTTTACTGTTAAGGAATGTGAGAAAATGATTTATTGGGTCTTTCATCGCCTCAAATTGAAAGGGGCAATGAAATATCCATCAAACCTGGGTGTATATTGTGGAAATGTTCTTTGTAAAGTCTTTTAGATGGGATTGCTTCAGTTGTTATAACAAGTAGAAGAAGAAGAAGAAAAAGAGTCGATATTATTATACATGCTTTTAACTTTAGGGGTAGGTAAACTTTTTGTTTTTTGAATATTGAACATCTGGTGAACACATTTACATAAAAGGTCACTCCCAGACTTTTCCACGTAGTCTGTAAAACAACCTAATGACTGAAGGAAAAACTGAATATGAATTAGTTCAAATTTACAGGGAGAAAACAAAGGGGATGGTGAGTGAGGAGGACAGTGTGTGAGGGGGATGTTCCTAAACAGATAGTTTCTGGGTTTTTTAAGACAATAAGACTTTTTTTACAGTGCAGGATTCAGTTTCTGTCTCCTCTGTCTCAGAAGCTTTTTATAAAAAAGACTCATACAATATCTTATAAAGCCTGAAAATGTCCTAATATCCCATAGACATTTCATTGAATTCACTTTTTTTTTTTTCTTACTGATTGAGTTGAGTTTTGCAAATCTTCGTATACTTTCTGTATTGTAATAAAAATGTGTGCTGACAGTAGGTCTGGGAAATTTACTACACAACTCTTGTAAATCATAAATAATATTGCGGAAAATATATTGTAGCACTGTAACAGTTTCCTAGGTCCCATAAACCCAACATCTGGTTCAAAGCAGCGGCATGGCACTACCGCTAAAAGACTTTTCACCAGCTTTGATACTTTGCTGTATAATTTGTGTCATCTAGAGCAAGGGGCATAATAATTTAACATGAAAAATAAATTAACAAGACAATACATCAATTTTAAAAATAAAACTATTTTTTAGTACATTGAAAGACAATAAGGAGAACAATGGCAAAAATTGCAAAATGTTCATCTGTGATAAATGGAAAAAATCTCGGACTCTTTTGGGAACAGACACAAATAGAACCCAGTGAAGCTGTTCGGTATTGTTCCACAAAACCCATCAGTGTTGTTTATGTCGGTGTCTCTGGGAGAGCTGTCTGCAAACATTGCCGAACACTATGTAGAGATAAAGACTGTGATTGCCTTTAACTCCCTCATCAAAACTTCTCACATTTCTATGTAATGATATCCTACTTATTATATTATCGTCTCAACCCGGACAAAGCACTGGACATTGTGTATTCACTGTGAGAGGATAGAATCCCATCTGCAATACATCAGGTTATAATGACTCTTGTGGTTCTAATGCCTCTAATGTGAACAAATCTCAAATGCAGACACAGTTGGTGGTTTTAGTGACCTTTAAACTGCTTCACAATTTTTTGCATAAGTCAAAAAAGGGTATAATTTCAGCTTGGATTAGATCTTATTAATAGTTTTGCTTTAAACAAATATGTTATTAACTATATATATATGCAGTGTGATTATGCTGGATGTGTAGTTACTTTAATAGAACTGATGGTCTCACATTATATTACTGATCTATAAGTGATGGTAACATGTGAAGAAACTTGTTGAATGCCTTAACTTCAACATCTGTTTTCAAAAAACAGGGATGTGCATGATACAGGTTTCAAATATCAAAGAAAATACAATGTAGTGTTTTCTAATGCCAAGTTAACTTCTGAAATCAGGTTTTCATTACTTTATTGTCCATGTTCAAGTGAAGCATTGGACTTTTTAAATTTGCAACTTGTTTGGTTATGCCCTGTCCCATTAATCAGTGAATATTATATTAACATATTAAGAATACTGTTTTCATTATCTCCTGTCTTACTTAGCAAAAACTCTACACAACAATCAACACAATGAGCAATAACAAGCCATCTGGACCAGTGTTACAAAATACATTCTTTTATTCATTCATCGTTGTAAATACACAAAAGAAATCATGGGACATATTCACACAAACAATATTTAGTGGGACATAAATCTTGAAACCATTTACACAGATAATTTTGGAAATGAATGTGCTTTTCATTGTCTAAAGGAAATATCCTTTCAATGCATCTAGTTAACATCAGTCAAAGCTACCCACACCTGTACTCAATACACAGCTTTTATCATGACTACATTATTTTGAATCTGTCCAACTTGTCCCATCTCTTCCCTTTACTCTTCTCACCTAGATCATTTTTGCTGTAATGTTCAGGATTCATATTTTTATTATATGTACATGATATACATTGATTCTTAAATACATTTTCATTGTTTCCAATCTATTTACAATATAAGAGCTTATTGATATTTTAAATGGTTACAAAATATGTGGATTTGATGATCACACAACATTAAAGCAAAAGGAGGCGAATGTGATATTATGCTGACTATGTAGGTAACAAGTGGTTGTTTGAACGAGTGGTACAGACGGAAGCATTGCTTAGCCTCCTTATCAGTTTTTCTAACTGAACAGTATTTCGTAAGACGAGTAAGTAAGTCATATTTGAAATAACAGAACAATACACAAAATGTTGATTCATCCTTTAATTCTCTTTGAGAACGTCAGGTTTATGAAGCATGTTTTTAAATCTAATCAATCTGCATGTGTCCTTTCCTACTGGCTTTGTTAACGGAAAGAATTGCACTTCCATCCTTGAATCATGTGATTGGAAAAGCAGAACCATTCTCCATCTGGTATCGGAACCACCAAGTCTGCAGCAGAGCACTACCTCGGCGTAAACTGTTACATCTGACGGATCAAAAGCGTGTTCCACAACAGACACAGGACGCTATCTCTCTTCTTGTAGCTAAAAATCGGGGTGAGGAGCTAATGCCCCAGATGAAACCCATCACTGTGATGTAAATGTTCTTCCATTCTTCACACAAGTCAAGCTGGAGTGAACAGTCTATGCAATTAGTTCCTCATATATGATATGACCAGTATTTATGGGGTCTGGACATTGTTACTGGTTGTGAGAGCTGAATTCTGAATGAGACAAAAGATGCAAAATTCAGATCTTGTAGTGAAACACAGGTTATTAAACATCTGACTTCATCTTCAGTCTTGGACTTTGTTAAAGAAAGTAATGTGCAGTAAAAGTATGGCTTCTATGGTAATAGTCTACCTCTCTCATTATTATAAGTTGAAGTTTGATGAAACTGCTACGTCTGCTGCCTCCATCTTGAAACAAACCTATCACAGCATCTACTGGCTAACCCTGTGGCTCCCTGAATGTCGACGAGAATGTGTAGAAAGCTTTGTTGTAACTGTGAGCAATCACACCATGAGCTCACTGATCTCAAGCTATGAGGTGTGTGTGTGATAGTGTGTGTGTGCGTGTGTGTGTGTGCTTGCTTGTTTGTACCGTATGTGCTTACAAGGATGGAACACTCACAGCAGACACATTAAAGCATTCCCATTCACTCTGCGCTTGCTGAGTAGTGGGCTTGAACCCACACAGTCTGTTCTGTCTCTTGTTAGTCTCTGTCTTTTGCTCCTTTTCAATACAGCCACAACCCATCCTTTAAAAAAACATTCCCTGGCAGATGGAGACGGAGGCTTCTATGCCGACAGCAGCTGCCTCCGCTTCAGATCTTCTGGCACATGTGGAGCCTGGACTTGGACGAGGAGGTGGCATCTTTCCACACCTTGCAGGAGAGGCCCTTGGCGCAGTCACAGCGCTGGAAGATCTCCAAGCCGTGTGCGCCTTTCTTCCTCTGCTTAGTGCACACCTCTCCCTGCCTCAGCACCGGCTTGCAGATTTTGGTCCAGAAATGGCGGGCGCAGCAGTAGCCCTCCGAGCAGTCGGATGAGCGCAGGCAGGGGTCACCCTCATGCCCTAATAGAAGAACACAGGAAACCGTGCCGATCAGTGGTGAACCAAACAAAAGACAAATTCTGAGCTGAATACCAAGTTGGCAGGACTTGAAAAAGGGAAACAGAAACAAATGCTACATCAAATTCATAAAAGTGAAATTTGAAACCATCCAGCATCTCAGAGTTTTAAAGAGTTTAAAGACAAAGAAATGTATAATCATTGTTCATTGAGCTGTAACCATATGGAGAGGTTTAGTGACGCTTCTTCAAGTTACACTTAAAGTGTGGCCATGTCAGAAACAAAAGAGACAACATGAAGCTTTCAACATGAGTCAAGCAAGCATGTTGCTCATCCTGTATATTAACTATTAATCCCATCTGGTGTATGTCTGATATTCCTGGCAGGAAATTAATATCACTCCAATAAATGTATAATTCGTACAATTTAGTCATACAGGGTTTTTTTTTTACTTTTAAAAATATATCATCTCTTGCCAAAGGCTGCTTTATCATTCAAACCAGTTGTCCTGTATCCCTGACAAAACCACACACTGATTAGTTATTTCAATATGAAGCTACAACCGTCAGCACGAGGGACTGCGGCTCGTCCATTAGTTTCAACACCACAGATTCTGTGGGTTTAAGATTTTTCTCAAGCAGCGACTTTGTGTTAGGCCATTATAGTGTAATAACGTTTAAGGCAAGGCAGTGAGTCAAGCACAAATGAAATAATTGTCCTTATTTATAGTAACTTAAAATGCCACTGCTATTTTCACATTGATTTTAGCATAACAGCCTGCTGTCTTGAAAGTGCATTAGGGTTGAGTAATTTAAGAGTCTCGTTAAGTCTATTACTTTATGGGCAGGTCCTCATATTACCTTAAATCACGCTAAGCAGGGGTCTCACTGCATTATTAGCTATAATCATGCCAAATCTGCATTCTGTGGTTTTCACTTGTGTACCACACAATAGGTGCTGTCAGTGAAAGTGTTTGTACAGCTTTATGTAGGTGCAGAAACAGCAGGGGCATTGTGGTTTCTTCTGGGCTCGACATGCTGCGCTTTGGGTTCAAAGACACTGACATATGAGCAGAGAGGTAATTATCAAAGTAGTTTGTGGACTGGCGTCGCCCATGAACTCTGTAGGACTGTGAACAACAGAAAGATTCAGCCACCCAGACCAGGTTCGGTGAGAATGAACGATGAGAGAAAAGACAACAGTGACAGTGTGAGGATTCTGGTGGACATGTTTTAAACATAACGTCAGGAATACACAGTCTGATCTTACCTTTAAGAGAATGCTTAGCGTGTGCTTTGCTGCTCTTCTTCCAGTTGTGGTCTTTAGTGGACAGTTTGTAATGCTCGTCTAACGCTGAGATGTGAGGTGAGAGCACACTCTCTGAGATAGGGACACAAATATCTGCAAACGGAAAGAGAAGAGAAAATTGTAAAACAACAGAAACAGAAATCAACTAACATGGACATGAACAAGCCCTAACCGTGAAGGCAGGTAACCTCCTGTCACTATGCAGCTACAGCAGTTAAAAACAATTTCAGCTGAACCTCTCTGGCATCTGTGAGCAAACACATACATATTCATACCATTCACACTGTTTACTGCTGGGACAACATGCCAGAATGCGAGCACTGACTCCTAACCTCTGGGCATCCATTTAAAACAATTCAGCTATGGTTCAAGATTCTGTCTAAAAGCATGTGTTCAGCATTATTTAAATGCATTGGCTCCTTCCCTCAAGTCTCTGGGCTAGATACTGTGCATGCACACACACACACACACATACTGCGTGTGTGTGTTTGTGTGTGTGTGTGTCAGGTACGCACAGTTGCTGCAGCGGTTCCCAGGACAGCACATGGCGTCCCGATGGCAGCGCTTCTTCCTTCTGCGGCAGGTGAGGCAGCGTGAGGGAGCCTGTTGAGGGCTGTGACAGTAGCTGCCCACTGTGCACTCCTTGTCACTGCTGCACGGATACACCTGCTGAGGATAACATGCATTTACTCAACATGTTGAGAATATACCTTTGTTTGCTTCTGGAAAGAAACACATTACATTACATTGCACATATTCATCTGCACATAGGTGAGGATAGAGAGGATAGTTTCAGTGTCAGACATTTATATCAAAATGGCTTTACCCACATAGTCTCCAAGCTGTTGTTGCTGAGTTGAATCTAAAGGTCAGTGTTGGTACCATCACCATTAATTTGTAGTCATGTTACCAGACATGAGCAGAGAATCATTCCAAAGCTCACTTCCCCTGTTTCTTAATCTGTAAATGCTGCCTTTGATTTTTGACTTTAATATATTTGGCTATGTAGGAAACACGCACACATGTGGCTGTAGATGTGAGTGATTTTTCTAAATGGCATTAATGACATCAATGTCCATAAAATATTCACTAAATGATCAGATTGCTGTATTGTCGAAGCACTGCTGTGGAAGAGAAAAACACCCAGCAAGCATCGACTCACACAGACCAAACACCATCACAGCATTTCATCTAATTGATGCACCACAGTTCAAATTGTAGCAAGCTGTTAACAAGTCAAATAAAATGCATTCCGGTTTATAGGTCCTTGGAGAGACTCTTTTCCCTGAAAACAACACACTCAACCTGACTCATGTTGTGCCCTCACATCAGCTCTTACATGGTCTTCGGTATTGCTAGGTACTAAGTGTTGTGTAAAATGTTGTTTGGACCAAAAACAAGACCAGAGAAAGACTCAATGCAGTTTATCGTGTTTGAAATTGTACATGTTACTTTATCTATTTTGTATTTTCAATCAAAGAAAACCCTATGATCAACAGATGTAAATAGATTTTGTGCAGATACTTTACTTCGCTGCAAAAATGTGGTAAATATAGATAAATGCAGCTGCATCACGCTGATGAAAACCAGGCAATAGAAGATTTTCCAGTTACTTTGTTTTTAATTAAAAGTTTCCCAACTGTTTCTGGAGTACAACATGCATCATTGGTTCTGGAGAGACATTACATTGTGTATGGGTTTTTCAATTGAAGTATGGAACATCAAAAACAAATGTCATTCCCGTCCATTCATTTTATTGTCAGCAGTAGATGAGAAGATATGACTACAGGTTGTCTTGTTATTGGACATGTTGTAGGTATTAAAATGTCTTGTGTGGTCATTATGTTGGTGGGTCCCAGGCAATGAAGTCATTACAATTTCCAAACTAAGAAAAAATACTTAATTCACTGTGTTCAGAAGCTAAATGACTCTGCAGACATAATTGAGGGGTAATTATCTTCCGTAATTATTCTCAATTTACCGTGATTTTTTTGTTTTTATGCTGAAAGGTTGAGACATATCGTCTGTAGTCCAGCAAAACATGCTAAAAGTCTGAGGGTCTTTTCCATAAGTGCCATGAAATGATCACACTAGAAGAGACTAGACTTACATAATATCCCTCGTCCACAACAATGCACAGAACAATTAAAGCAATCTCACTTTTTCCATAACAAATTTGTGCACCAATGGGAAGTTTTACTGGAACTGCTGCCTTGATATAATTCCTTGCACATGCACAAGTGTGTTGCCATTAGTGTTGGAGCAGGAGCAAAGAAGCTCAACATAAATTGTGTCACAAATCAAATGAACTGCTCAGACAAGTGAATTAAAGCTGTGAATTTGCACTGAACTAATCAACGGAGAGGGACACTTTGAGCCACAGTGGGGAAGCACCAGTATTCTGGTCGGGTCACAGTTAAGGTCAGGAAACTGTTTTCTCCCAACTGCTGGAACATCTTTATCTTATTTTAAACCCCTCTGTTACAGAGTGTCATTACTGCAGTGGGTGGAATGAGATGTCAGACATTTGAATGACACGACACCTCAAATATGCAGATTTGTGGGAAAATGCACAGGATATGGATTCTGACTGTGTAAATCATGTCCAGTGTGGACTGACATTAGAACAACATGTTTAGCTGGCACACCACCACAGGCACCACAACCACACTGAGCTGGCACTGCACTGACTTAGCTGATTTAGTGTGGTTTACCACTGACAAACACGGAACAATAAACATATGAATGGACATGAGAGAGGTTTATATCAGAGTAAAATTGTTATAGACTCAATAAATAGCAAACTCCATTTTGGATATTATGGTCAGCTGAGCAGGGGAGGCCGTGCCCAAAAGTACAGGCGTCCCTCCAATCGTGAATGTACACCACATGTTTAATATATTGCATATCACATTAGAAGTTGTTGCTCGATGTCCTCGCGCCTCAGAAAGCGAATACGATTAGACTTTTTGGAGGGATGCCACGCTGACTTTCTCAGGCTGGAAACACATGGAGGCAATGAGAAATGAGCAGAAATATTAAGCTGACTGTTCATCCATCATTGTGTCAGGTTCCCACGCTCCAGATGCGTAATGTGTTGATGAAAGTAATGAAGTCCTGATTTTTTTTCTGATGTCTTCTAAATATTGCTTAATTACGACAATGTTAAAAAAGAGTTCCCAGAAAATCTACTGGTCTTGTTTTATAAGTGAAAGTCATTATGAGGAGTTCAGGTGAGCCTGGAAAAACACTTGTATGGTGTCTTTTGTGGTTCTGTAGCAACTTCGTCAAGTCTTTGAAAATAATCCTGGTTATGTCATCAGCGCTATCTCAGCTTAAACAAGAGACTACACAAAAGACGTTTGACAGACATGGGTGTGTTGACCAGGCAGGTAGGATCTAATAAAGATGCTATCAAGTTTATGGGAAGCGCAGTATCCAACTTCATGGAATCACAATCCTAAAATCCCAGCTTTTCTTTGAGAGAAGAAAAGGTTTAACATTTTAGGGTAATCTTATCTCTTATTTGCTTACTTGCAGAGGGTTAAATGATGTATGTGAATCCAGGAAAACTTGAGCCAGGAAGGATTATTCTATCTTAGAATCACAACTGGAAACAGGGGAGAGGTTAGCCTCTCTAAATTAAAAAGAAAATCTGCTGTCCAGCACCTCTGAAGCTCAAAAATTAATGCAATGCTTCTCATTTTTATCAATTTTGAAATAAACTGAAACATAAGAGCTACAAATGACAGTAAATCTAAGGGATTTGGGGTGTGTTAGTATTTATTGAAGATAAATACAGTCTGTGACTGAAAAGTCCTGCCAAGAAAACTGTTCACAATTCCCTGTAAAACACCACATTTTTATTTTACATTTCTATGTGTTTATATAGGTGGAAATGAAAAAGAAAAAAGATGCAGCATGTATTCACTTGTAGGAGCGTTTGCAGTGAGTCTTTGCCCCAGTTTCTTATCTAAGCCAAGCTAATCGTCTCTAGGTTACACACACAAATTAGATTGGTTTTACGTAGTTAGAACTGTTGGAAATATAATCTGAAGAGAAGTTCAAGACAGCAGCAGCAGTTTTCTTTCTCCTGACATAAAACATGTGCCGTTATCTGAATATGATGACTAATGGCACCGGCCACGCGCAGTAGTACTTCATACTACCTGCTCTGATTCCTATCTGTCTTTCTGGACGGCAGATTTGGATCAATTACAGCGCATGGGTGCGTGGGTGGAGGGGGGAGTTGTAGAAAAAGAGGGCTGAGGCTCACCTCTTCCATCATGGCTCAAACCACAAGACAGCCCTTTGAAACCCAATGATACAAGGCTGACCCCCAAATCGCAGCGGATAATCTCGCCTTATCTTGTCATGTTTTAAAATGGCTCATTTGCAACTTCTGAGAGACAGGGCTTCATTTGGATGCATCTCATTCATCTCCCATCTTTTTTCTGTTGCTCCCTTATTTTTCCCCAGACAGCTTTTGCACATAAAAGCACAGCTTTGAATCCTGCGCAGGAAGTGGGCTGAGGACTGTGTACTCTGCAGCCTCTCTCGGTATGCTGGTGAGACGATAAAGGCCGAGACAGACAGAGTCATAAGGGAAGCCCCTGGCCTTGTCTCGGGCTGCCTCCGTGCTGGTAAAACGACGTGACTTTGATGAGGAAACTTAAATGTGCGGGAGCAACAATCTACAAGGGATTTACTACAGGATATACAGGGCTTTAAACCATCCACCCTGGTTGCAGGATCCCTTATTTACTTCTGTGGAGTCATTCCAAAGCGCTGATATAATTCGATGGAAGTGCCCAGTAATGCATAAAAATAACACTAAGAATGTCTCATCTGCTTAGTTGGAGTGCGAGAGATTTAAATTGAGAGAGAATGAAAATATTTTTGGAAAGTGAGGAGGGTTTGAACCTTTTGTTTAGAAAAGTGAGACCCTTCCCTGCATTATGCATGTTTTCTTGAGAGGTGCAAAGGACAGTAATATGATATTTTAGAGTGACAAAGTCTAGGCAGAAGTTCAAAGTGGATGAATTCAAGTGCAGGATACGACTATATCCCGTTTCCAACAAAATGGTTATGTTTTTTTTTTACATAACCATTCCCTAACTTTAACAGAGTGTATATTATTGTAACTTTGATCACACAAGCCCCTTAACCTTGACAATGTAGTCATTTTAACCCAGGGGTGGGGAACAGTCAGCTCAGAGCAGTCAGGAAGAAAGAAAGTTGTGCTAGAAAATGGAAAAACATTAAATTTTTTGTTGAAGTAACTGAAAAGCCTGTGTGCCAGGTTTTCAGGGATGCGCTCACATCGATGAAAACGGCCAATCACGAGCATCATTACAGTTGGAAACATGCAAAACTGGATGAGTTGCAAGGACAAATACGCTTGGATGAAATTAACGCTCGTTAGCGGAGTTTGCGTGCCCAACAAGCAGCTTTCACAAGACCACATCCAGACAGAGATGATGTTGTGCAGGCAAGTTATACGATGAGCAAACTAATAGCTAAGACGCTGAAACATCATTCAGAGGGTGAATTTATAAAATGCCTGATTGCCGCTGTGGAGCTGCTAGCAATGGACAAAGTAAAATTGTTCCAAAGTGTCAGTTTTTCTCAAAGAACCTTCACAGAGCAGATAAATGACATAGCAGTGATACGGACATAAATGGACATCACAAGAAAAGTTTTTCTGTCTGACCTGTGATGAAACATGATAAAAACTGCCCCACGAGCTATTTTGTGTTTGGAATCTATGCCGAGGTTGGTACGAGTGAGGACTTGTCTTTTTCGAGCCTGATACCTGATACTACCAATGGTGAGGATTTGTTTTGGCTAAAAGTAGTTGTGAGTAGCGTCATCATCATCACTACCATCAGACGCTTCACCAAAGAGAAGCATCGCATTAGAGAGATTACTGTGATATATGCATTCAGTAATTTAGTGAGGCCCATACCAAACTACCAAAAGTAAGAATTTGTTAGAGCAAGTTGTTTTGGCTAAAATCAGTGTTTAGCATCATCACGACCATCAGACTCTACAACAAAGAAGAAGCATCGCTTTAGAGAGAGATTACTGTAATATGTGCTCAAATGGTTATTACAGCCTGTGAAGGATACTATATAAACTTAATTGTCCCTTGATAGGAAGACAGTTCCCTATCTCTGTTGTAGAGGGCATGAACAAACTATGAGTGAGAGGAATATTTACAGTTTGGAGGATTATGGAGGCAATTTAAACATAATAAGTAAATAAGCAGGATTGTTAAAAAACTAATGAACTGATTTCCGTGAAATTTTGTGAATGAGTGGAACATGACCTGAGGAAGAACACATTACACTTTTGGACCAGATCCACTTTCTTTAACATGTCGAGACTGGGCATTAGCCTTGGTGGAGGTTTTCACCATTAGGTGCTGTTTTATTTATCAACTATATTACAAAGGAAGGCTGACAGAAAATATAAATTCAGGGTGAAGAACAAAAAATACTTCCCTGCTCTTCAAAATGACAGTCTGCCCCAATCCCCTTTTTCTGACCCCCTCTCAAACCCAAATAACTTTCATCCAGTCAACATGGAGGGACACAACCTGAGTAATACGATAGATCAGTTAATATATGCTGGTATTTCATTGATGTTGATTGAAAAGCTAAAGTAAAAAGCTTATTAAACATTTGATACTCAACTCGTAGAACTTGGTGTTGTGATCGCACTTGATCCTAAAGCTTGAGATCAAGCACATAACCTGAAACTGTGAATGGTGTTAATGAGTGGTATGGGGCCTTACAGAGTCAAATAAACGATGTCACTGAGTAAACAAACTTCATATGCCCTGAAAGCACAGACAGCCGGTATCAGATAACATAGGGATGGCTGCGCACAAGTCACTCTTACAAACCATGTCTTTAAACACAACTTGGCGTCTTTCATCACTCAAAACACATGTGTTTATGGGCATGTCCCTTTGAGCGCTATAAACCAAAGTCTCCAAAAACTAGACCTTCCTTAAGTTAAGTATACATTCTGAGTTGATCTTATTCATCGGACATGAATAAAGGCACACATGACTGTGCACTTCAAAGACTATGAAAAGAAAGGGGTAAAGCTCTTGATGGTATGCCACTCTAAAAGGTGTAATCCTGTGAAATGAGATGGAATGGGTCTCCTCTCATTAACAAGGCCAATTACAGTAAAAAAAAAAGAGGTCAAAATGGAAGACTCCTAATGGCTCCAGTGCACGGCCTTCACGGTGCCCAAGGGAGCCACAGACTGGAAAGGCCACAGGACAGACGACTGAAGCACGAATATATATGCCGAGCACTAACAAGCGGTCACACCTCTCGCTGCCTTTTCACTCTCTTTCTCAGCTCATTAGGATCACCCAACAGTTATTTTAAGCTGGAGAGGAGGCAGGCAGGGCCGAGACAGAGAGAGGTAAAAGACGTGGCTGTACTTTTACAGGCAGAGCCCTCAGAGATCGCTTGTTAAAGTGATCTCTCAGTGTGGATTTAAATAAAGCAACCAGTTAAGTCTGGCTGACCGACTGCTGATGTTTTACAGACATGTCCTGCATGAATGCAGCCACACTGTCGGTTCCCTTGTGGGTTCAGAGGTTAGAGTGGTGAGCGCTGCCTGCCCCATGCTATCCATTTCTGTTGGTTCCCTTCCAAGGAGCCAACAGTGCCACCCACGAGCAGCGGCTGTCAAGGACTTAGAGGTTTTTGGTTTTGTCGGTTTTACTTGCAGTCAAGCTGACGTGTAAAGGGTCAGACAACGAGAAAACACTCTGACTCCAAGGCAGCCAAAACCTGACCCTGGTTTGACAGTGATTGATATGACTCTTATCGCCAAACGCTGTCAGCAGCTACAGGAAATAAAAACGAGTTCCTAATGTGATGGATAAAATACCAAATTACACCCTTGTTTCCTGCTGCATCTGCTTGTGACCCCAGGGTGGCTGGAATCTCTCGCTTGATAATTTGGAAACCAATGAGTTCTATTTAGTGGTGAAGTTTTTCTAATTCATTTGATTTTCAGGCCTCACAAACAACCATGCAAACAATGTATATTCTTGTGTTTGACTATGGATTGAAGAGAGGTAGCAGGTTTAAAAAAAGTAATGTTTAAAAATTAGGCATAGTGGTAATTATGGAGATCCCTGATCACATAAATGGCAACCTCACAATCATTTAAATCCTGAACGCTGTGCAAACTCCGTGGAGGTTTATAATCTGCCAACAATTTCACACCAGCTGTAACAAAAATCAACAGCATGACAAGTTGACCATAAATCTACTTGTGGGATTTTGGCATTGAGGTTTCCCATAAGGCAGATGCAGAGAAATGCAAGGGAATTTGAGTTGGTGCGTGCACATTTTCCATACTTACACCCAAGCCTTAATCAACAGTAATTCATTTCTCAAATGATGATAGAGGTTGAAATATTTTTGAGGGGGCCTACTGTGAACCACTTTAGACATAGAATTACTCAGTATGTTGTTTTGTGTAAATCAGGGCTTTTATTAAATTGTTTACTTATTAGGAAAGCTGATTAGTGTCCTTGTAATCTCTCCTAAACTAAGTCAGTGCCTCGCGTTGCTATTTCAACCTCATGAAGAGAGCAGGCCTTTACTCTATGATTTGATCTGTTCATTAATGGCCACTGTATTAGAAGAAAGCGAGGGTCAATAAAGTCATCCTCCTAGTCAAGCCGCAAATCAGGCCAAGGCAGAGCTGCAACTGTGACTTGACGATACTGGAAAACCTTCTGGCTTCCAGAACACACACACACACACACACACACACACACACACACACACACACATATACATACATACATACAGAGTAGCCCCTTTTGCCATAAATGCAATTAACTGTCTCAAATTGGACACACGGCAGCATATACACCATGACATTTACTTTAATAACAGTAAGGTGGTCTCTGCACTCATATATTGTTTTCCCTCAGTCCACCCGTCCAAACCGCTCCAGATTATTGCAATGGCAAAGATGTAAGCAGGCGTTCAAATTGAGGTCTGGCAGTGCCGCTTGAGGTTGGATCTCCACACTCAATAGAGGAGAGGAGAGAGAGTGGCTTTTCCATAATTTACTTCTGTCTGAGCTGGATGTCAGAGCGCCACTCTGAGCACAACGCTCTTCACAGATATTCAACACGATCACATATGTTGGACTCGGCCAAATGTAAACACTGTGTTAAGGGAAAAATGCTTGAAAGGTAAGGTCAAGCATAATCAGCTGTTGCAGTGAGCTGATGTACTGAGTGTCTGCTGCAGCGGATGTGGCAGTGCCATCTGCTGCTCAGAAAGAAACGGAGACATTAACAGCATCTCTCAGGTTGGAATATTAATATGCATGCATGTTTGATTAAAGTGTACATTTAGAGGTAGTTTGGGGAGATGAAAGGTATTTGGTTAACTGATATTTCATGTCCGTTTCCCACATTTATATCAGTTTTAAAACCCCTCTAATAAACTTAACCAAAACCTCTTTGAGAAATTATATGGAGAACTTTGATCTTCCAGCAAAGCAATGAATGCACCATTATAATTCCTCACTTGATAATCACTTGACTCATAATGTTCACAACTTTTTTTTTCTTTCGCTGAAATGAAAGCTGCCAAACCTTTAATAATATTTGATCCTGCATTTTCAGTCAAACTCAGTAATTTGGCACTTTGTTGAAACAGCAGGACTTGATAACTCTTTGAGTGGGTATTAAGTGGCTGGTTGGTAAGAGTATCCCTCAGAGGCCCCACAGTAAGAATCTCATAATCCCAGCAAGCGTCTGGACCACTTTAATGACACTAAGACCCAGACAGAAAATTACCCCGAGTGTTAACTTTTTCTCACATTTCTCCAAGCATTAATGATTTACTGTGGAAGTGCGGGGCACCCGATGGTGGCGTCAGGTCTGAAAGGCAATTAGGGTTTATGAGGGGGTCCAATCCCTGCAATTTCCAATAACGATTCACACATGAGAGTTTTTTTTTAACAACATAGGGCTATTTTACGCGTTCACCTCGAGAAACTCCAGGGGCACACTTTTCAAGACCGCACAATTACGCACGCTTGTGTGCATCAATTGCGCACTCATAATCAGTTTTAAATGAAGAAAACTGACTCTCTTCTGGTCATGTTTATTGAAATTAATAATCACTACTTGTGGAATCATTACGGCTAATAATAGTCCACTGAATTCATCCCACTTTCTCAACTACTCAAATACTGTGCGTAAATACCGATCTAAAAGCTCCATTTATATTTAAGAGGAGGATAATTCAAATTACCTGAGTGAGGATATGATGTTTCTTCGTGATCCCGATGTGCACAGTGGAGGACTGGTTGGTAGCGGGTGTGGGTGCCTCGTCCACCAAACCCGGCTTGATGGAGTTCGCCTTCGGGCGCGTCTCTGATACCTGGGACGCCCCCGTCCTCAGCGCCGCGACGAGAAACATCACAACACAGCATCTATTCCATGCAGAGACGAGCATCCTTGGAAAAAAAAATACTGCGATAACAAAAAATACAGATTTGCTTGAAAAGAAAATGATTTTTGTGGCACAAAAAAAAAAGTTTCTCAATGACAAGTGTGCGTCCTGACAGTGTCCATGTGCCACACTTCCCCTGACTCCAAAACACGAGTAGTAGTGATGAGGCCAAGTTTTTGTTCCTGGGAATCAGATATTGAGAAGAATGACTGCCATCGATATCGTTATCTGGAGACAGAGAGCCTAGTGTGTGGCAGGGACACAATGAATCTGTTAAAATGCTGATGCTCTGAGGGTCAGAAGGAGACTTGACATGAGGTTTCCACTCTGTCTCTGTCTGTGACTGAGCATTTGGTCCTGCAACCGGCTGGTTTGTGATCTCGGATACTTTCTTTTTATAGGATTGTAATGAGTTTGCTTCCTCCGCCCCTATTCACCACTGACAAAGAATGAAACTGATCTGTGCGCGGCACCGCTGCTTGCGCATTGTCGTCTCGACACCGGCACCAGGAGCCCCGTTGGGAAAACCTTATAAAATTATACACTGTGTGTTTTAACTGGGCGCTTGACCCTTTTTTACTGCTTTACTACAGTTGGACGCATAGGAAACAGGGGGGGTTCTACAGATGGTTTGTAGGTAGCGGACCATTTTTCCACAATCACAAGAAAGAATGTGATTCCTTGTGCGTAAAAATGTAAACTCCATCATACCTGAAACCAAAAGCGCTTTTTTATTCTACCTGATTTTAGACTGATGCTGCTCTAACCGACGTGAGACGCAAATTCGCAGGACGCTCCCAGATTCAGGGTCTACTTTACCAGCATTCCAGAATAACTTAGAATAAAAAACAATATTTGTTTTCTTTCTGTGGGGAAAAAAGGAATCCCTCATGATGCAAGGGATAACAGTGGTAATTAAGGTATGTGATAGAAGTATTATAGAGGCTCCTTTGTTTGATTGTATCAGGATGAGTTATATGGATGTTAGTTGGATGATAATACACGTGGAGGCACAATGAACTCTTTCAGTTAGGTAAAGAGCATGAATTTTGGATGAATGATGTGTTTAGTACAGGGGCACTAGTGCTGCCAGGAGATGGTGATGTTATCAGTTTTACAAATTCAGATCTGTGTAAATGTGTCTTTCACTCTTGGTTATTGTGTAAATACAGGAGTAAGTTTTGCTGTAAGTATCTTGTTTCAGTAACCATGATTCATATTCATGCTTTCTAGAAATCAAAACATGACGCAGAGATAGAGAGCATGGTGCACGTTGAAAAAGCTGAAAATCGTATCAAAATGAAAAAATTAAGAAGCCAGTCAACGAAACCATCTTTTCACACAATGGCATTATGACTCTACACCTCAGTGCTTTAGTTTTCACACAACTTGGAAGCACCTATTCAAAGTTTGAAGCCGGGATGAAACCAATATACCGGTAAAGGCTTCTGACCTCAAAAGCGATCCATCACAGGCTCCAATTCAAAGTGTCAAGTTCTTTTGTCTGAGACAATGGACAACCAACTGAACTGGGGAGTGGGAGGAAGTATTGGACTTGTTTGATGTAACTGTAGATGCTTAGAGGTGATACTACCTCTGTCACCTGAGTGCACAGTGATTTACCTTGAAAGACTGGCAGCAGACAGTTGTTTTCAGAAGATATGAGTCTGTAAGTTTTGGAGGAAAAGTTACTTTCCGGACATAAACATTTGATATTTAAGAAAAGAGCTGGAAAAGCACCACTGCCAGTATGAGGATTTCATTAATGTTCTTTGGGACAAATGAAAAATTATGCTTCAGATAACCAAGAAAAACAGAGTCAATCGCTCGCAGCAATAAATGTTACTGCTTTTATATTTCAAATGCTCAGCTGGATTATGTCTGCCTTCAATACTGCTGATTGAGCAGCTGAAAAAGTCCCTGGTGAAAGTGGCTCAGTGAACCGGAGGTCCAGACGAAACAGGGATGGGGCCGGATTTGAACATTTCAACCACATTCATCCCTTGAATACATGCAAGCAGAGAAGAGGAGACACTTAAAATGACATACTGCTGAAACTCTGGAGGCCAAAGACCCAGCATGTTGATGCTCTGGTGCTGATAAGTGTGTGGATGTCCAGAGGAACCACAGCAGATGAGACGTGACTGGTCTGAGCAGCAGATGATAAAGTACATCCTGATGGCAGGAAGGTGATGTGAGTGTTTTGGACAGCGATGCTTCTGGTGCCTCACATAAAGGTTCTGCACGCTGTAAGTCTATACGCAGACATTTTGAGGGATGACAGCGTGAGCTCGCCCCCTGTGCTTTGTCACGATTTTCAACACTGTGGATTGTCAAAGAGCTTTGAGGATGTCACGAATTAGTATTAAAAAAAAGAAAGAAAAAGGGGGAAAAGAGGGGAAACAGGCTCAGTTTCTTCCCAGCTTGGATTCAGTGAAATGCAGAGCACGAGCACCTGGGCCAAGATCTGTGATTGCTTTCTTGGCACACTGAGCTGGAAAGAGTGGGATTATCGTGTGTTCAGACATGCTATCATCATCCCAGCCTCCACACGGTAATCACATTTTGACCACTATTATGCAGCATTAATGCTGTGACGACACAACCCGACGCTGAGTGTTCGATGTTGAAAAATCCAAACCATGTGTAAAGTAGATGCTAAATTCACCTGACGATGGAGAAAGCAGCACTCTGTTGACGTAAATTTGTTCAGAGGGAATATTAACGTTATATCATGGCAGGTAGACTCTCTTGATACTGGACCACGATGGTATCACATGCAGGTGAATCATACAGGGAAAGGTCTCCTCCAGTGGAATAATAGTCATGTTAATGCTGACAGAGACAGTTAAGTGGCACAAGCAGTTATCTGCCAGGCGCCACAGTCTCAGCTCTTGGCTGACAGGACTGAATGTTTGAGGCTAGCAGCATAAATACAGTTTAATACTGGTCGAAGCCTTACACTGGTCTTGTTGAGTTAGACTCACTTCACCCTCTCGCTCAGAGCTGATGAAATGACAAGAGGGAGTTTTCAGTGACAAACCCAAGGAAAATGATCGGTCTGCAGTTCTTGTTCGTTTTACTATGTTTTTCACCATCTTTTTTGGCTCATTTTTTTCATTTTACATTCTGCGACGTAAATGTTCTGAGTAATGTTTCTCTGCCCTTGTGTCCAGATGCACCAAACAGCTGTTTTTAGTATAAAAAAAACAGCTGCTTGCTGCCAGCCCTGCACCAAACAACAGACTTGCTTAGAGTGGGAGCATACTGAATCAGTTAATGTGCTGAAAAGCCCAACATTGTTAGTTTGTGGTGAGAAAGGTGAGTGACGGTGAACACAAACACAGCTTCTAATGAATTTAGCTCAGTGTCTGTTAGTCTACCGTTCCCATAGAAACCTGGTGCCTGGCTACAGTATAGGCCATTAATCCCACCTCCTTCATGTAAGTGGATGGGACTTGGATCAAACTAGAAAGTATAAGTATGAGCATCAAACAAATAATTTCTCAAAAATGGTTTCTGTACATTTTGTAGTAAATGTGGTTTTACTTAATTATTTAATGCCTCAAAAACAACGTGAAACATCACAATTGACAGCTGAGACTGACTCACAATTGGTCGGGTGAGTGTTTTGACAGGTTCTTGCTACCGTGGCTTCATGCCCCAGTTGCTACTTTGTTGACTCTGTCTCCAAATGTGCAAGATGGCAGCATTCATATCCAGGATATTTTGACTTCTCTGAATAAAGGGGAGAAGTGGAGACGCTGCATCCATCTTTATATTCAGTCAATGGTTCACTCCAGCACCTTCATACGGTGATAATGTGGCAGTGTTGTATTTACAGCCTTTTGCACTGCCCCCCAGTGACAGTAAAAAATCCATCATATGTCATTTTTACATGACAGGACGAGTTATGCTTCACAATATGTACACAGGCAAAAGTGCATTTCAACAGTTCTTCTTAGTGAATCTCTGTCAACCTTTGAGTTTCTTGAAGACACAGTTCATCATAAAATCATTTCAAAGTCCTGATATTTATGATAATATGCCAAGAGCCACGATAATAAATATGTCATTATTTATGAAACCTATACCAGAGTATAACTTAATAAGATGCTGCATATTCTTCATTTTATCACAGGTGACCGGCTGATCTTCAGACATTTCCCCTCTAAAATGACACTGTGCCTAAAATCAGGACTTAGCGGTCCAGTGTGTAGAATTTAGTGATATCTAGTGTTGAAGGTGCATGTTGCAGCTGAACACCCCTCACCTCACCCTCTCCTTCCAAACATGAAAAAGAACCTGTGCAAACCTTTAATTGTCATAAAAACTCAAAAGGTGTTTAGTTTGTCCAGTCTGGACTAATGTAAAAAACATGGCGGCCTCGGTAGAGAGGGTCCCCTCCATGTAAATATAAAGTATTTAAATATAAAGGGTCTTTTCTGGGGTAAAGAAAACTACAATTCATACAATTTAGATGAAATGAACTAGTGAAAACATCATGAGAATTATTCTACATTAAATTTCTGCCAATAGATCCCTTTCATCTAAATCTTACACACTGGACCTTTTACATAAAATTATGACTAAATGACTTAATTTCCCTTTAAGTGGTCCTAATACCCCATCGTAAATTTTGTTGAGTCTCCATAGTTTTTAATAATAACATCTGCAAGCAGATTATGTTTTCACTGAGTTCGTATTGTGAAATGTACAATACAGCCTGTTTTCACTAGCTAAGATAATTGGGATAAACTATAAAGTGACATTCATGAGTGCAGGAGATAAAACAGTTTATGTGCAGTGTGAAGTCCCTACGTGCTGTGTTCTTGGATTGGGATTAAAGTGATTGTGGGTTGATTCTGTTATGTAACTGGAGACAGTGTAAACCTGTTTCACTGTGGCACACTGAGACTGGTTCTTATTAATGGATCATGTAAGTCCAGAGCTGGTTTCTTCCTCCTGTCTGATCACCCGCAGCCACGCATCACTACAACACTCAGCCCACCCTGCATCTGCCTGTGATTCAGGGTCATTCAGAAATGCGGGTGTTTATGTTGTGTGCAGAATTTGGGGTTCCCCACAGTTGAGACCCAGCAACATGTCGGTAAATCAGTGCTTGGTTGGTGTGGTGGGGCTCAATGAAAGGCTGTCTCGCTGACTCTGACGTGACTCACACAGAACATGCACATGGACTACACCCACACTAGATGAAACAAATGATCCAAGAGTCTGTCTGGATCAGTACCTCAGTATCCTGCAGATGTGAGCGAGCCGCCTTATGACGCGGGTCATCCAGCAGGTGGCTAACTGTTAGAGCGCCAGGCCAAGAGGAAGCAGGTCCAGGG